GTTGCATATATCAAAAAATTTCTCTATGTGACACGGCACCAGAGTTAAGTTAGGGTTTTTCAAAATGCTGACACGCCGAGCTCAAAAGGTTCACCATCACTGTTCTATATGCTTGTAGAGGAAAGGCCTCACCTCAGTGTCCAGTGTTGAAGAGCATGGAGAGTTTTTGTCTGTGAGGAACCAGCAGAGGTAAACTCCCCCAGTTCGCCATTGCCACCGGGGTGCTAGAAAGTGCATCCATTGGAGTTTGAGCCCTGACGCTGCTAGAACCTGTCTGTGGGTCGGTGATTTAAACTCTCATAGCTTCAATGTTCTCATCAGGAAAAAAGAGTGAGGTTCTTATGAAAGAAAGTAAGTGATGTGTGTGAAAAAACTGTGCATATTGGAGGCATTTACTGAGTTTCTTACAGTTTCATTGGTTCCCCTTCTCCTAAGGCAGTGGTTCTCAACCTTCCTAATGCCGTGACCCTTTAATACAATTTCTCATGTTGTGGTGACCCCAACCATAAAATTATTTTCGTTGCTACTTCAAAACTATAATTTTTCTACTGTTATGAATCGTAATGTAAATATCTGATATGCAGGATGTATTTTCATTGTTACAAACTGAACATAATTAAAGCATAGTGATTAATCACAAAAACAATATGTAATTATATATGTGTTTTCCGATGATCTTGGGCGACCCCTGTGAAAGGGTCGTTCAACCCCCAAAGGGGTCGTGACCCACAGGATGAGAACCGCTGTCCTAAGGCAACCAGAATCTCCTTATCTGTGGTGTCGGCTCTGTGAAGGCAGCGACCGTGCTGTAGTACGTGCCACTCTGTTGTCAACACTTAACAATGCCCGGTGTGTAGTCGGTGTTCAATGGATGAAGAATTTCAGGTTTAAAAGTTTCAGCATGTTTTATGGACATAGAAGGGGGAGATGAAATGACCCCCCTAAGGGACCCACACAGCATGAATAAGTGGAGCTTGAACCCCAGAAACCTGGGTTGTGGAGATGTATTGGCTGTCCAGCATGTGGATAGCTCACGGGGACTCTCAGGTATGCAGGAAGCCAGAAGGGCAGATATTCCCACTCTCGGCCTCCTGGCCTACCCTCCATCAATCAGCTACTCCACCTTGGGGCTGGCAATCCTGGCAGAGATGCAAAACTGCCAGGCGGTATAAGGCTAGCTTTGGCAGCTCAGAGGGAATGTCCACTGGTGGGGACATCAGCAGAGGTATTCTCACCAAACCATTCCTGCGGTATGAGTTTGGATGCATTTTTAGCTGTCTGGCCTCTCTTGACTCCTCTTTATTTTCCAATCTCAGATTCCCTAACCTCCCGGCTGCTTCTGTGGATTCCATATTGGTTTTCCATTCAATTTCCTTTCTGCCAAGTCAGCCAAGTTGGTGTCTATTGTTTGCATCCAGTGATCTGGGTCCTAGACTATGGCCTCTGCCCCTGGCCTTGGTTTCCCAACGGGATCTACTCATTAAGCATGTGTCTAGGGATATATTCCAAAGCTGTTTTTGTGTTAATTCTCAAAATGTCTTCTTCAAATGGCCAGTGTTTTCGCGATTCTTTCATGTCCTTAGCAATTCTATAAAGTGTGTTACACATTCTTTAATGAAGTAGAATTATGCTGCCTCTGATCACTCTTTGTCTCTTGGTTTCACCTTTCCCAGTGCCCAAGCTTCATTTCTTGTTCATCTGCTCTTTTAACTCTAGACACATTCCCCCTTAGCGTTTGTGTGATTTAATAAGTTTTTATTGTCCATGAACGACATGCCAGATATGATGCTAGGGACAAGGACCCAACGGTGAATAAAATAAGAATCATCTGTGTGAAGATAATAGTCGAAAGAATAAAATGTAAAATAGATTAATGCCAGGAGAGGCAACATATGCCACCGTGCTTCTCAAAGCGAGGACGAAAATACAAGGGACATATGAAAGCCTGGGACTTGATTCTGTGCGACATCTTTTCTACAGCAAAGCAACTCATTTATCCCAGCAGAGTTTGCTGGGCCCCACTGCGCGCCAGGCACTGTGTGGGGCCAGGGTCTGGGTAAGCTCTCCTGGTTCTCCTTGTCTTTCTGGGGGTATGAGCCTATCTATACTCCGTGTGCACATGTGTAACAATACTTACTCATGAATAACTGAGAGACACTGCAGGATGTCCAGCCGCAGTGGACAGCAAGAGGCTCTGCTGAAGTGACTGCAGTCACTGCTCTCTTTGAACTACATTTTTTTAAAGCTCGTGTTACTGCCTCTCCAGAGAACCAGGCCGGCACATTTTTTTTCCTACTGCTGCCTATAATCCATCATTCCAAAGAGAGGCCTTAAAAACAGCGCTCGAGGGAGACATGATTTCCTTTCCATTTCTCTCTCAGAAAGAGCAGCTTAGAATGGGAGGAGGAAAAATTGCATTTAGGTTAAAGGAATATAAATAACAGGAAAGAATCTGCTTCTCCCTTTTCAGAAGCTAAGCCGCAAAAGGACTCTTCATTTTAAAACAGGCCACCATCCCTTGGCCTGCTCTAAATGTTAATATTATATACCCGGTAATAAAGCCAGAGGATTTTTAGTGAGAGCTGTTAAAGGGAAAGGGTGGCTGAGGCAGGTTTCTCTGGTGAATGAAAATCACAGGCTCATAAACACAGCATGTGGTTAGTTCTGTGGTTAGCCAGAACTCTAAACGTGTGATTCTCCCCATTGTCTGTGTTGACAGGACAACTATTGACTTTTCTTGGTTGCAGTGCTCAAAATTTCAACTTGAAAAGAGAAAGGATTGGGAGTCCCTAAGCCTAGAGCAAGCAAAAGCCCTATAGAGCCAGGCTAAAACATTCCTAGTGTATGGATGTCAGGTGTGTGTGCTGGATTAGAGGGGACACGAGGGGAAATGTCATTTTCTCTCTTTAAAAGTTAATTTTGTCTTTAGAAACAGCCCTGTGACTTTTATTTTATTAACCAAACAAAATTGTTACTGACCACCCAAAATTTCCATCAGCTTCCCCCACTGTTAGCTAGTATCCAGTGACTATTTAGCTAATGCTTATTTTTAGCCATCTATCTACACTAATAAAAGAGAAAGATTCAAATTGACTGTACCTTTGCGACGCCCACCAGCCAATCAGGAGGGAGTATGCAAATTAACCAAAGATGACGTGTTACTTTACATACACAGGTTCTGAGTGGCCACTCCGGGCCTCTGGGCAGTGTGGGAAGGCGGAAAGGTGGCTCTGGGCCTGAACAAAGGTAGAAAGGCGGCTCTGGGCTGGAGCGAAGGCGGTGCCGGCAGCCAGGGGAAGGAAGGCCCATTCTTGCATGAATCTTCGTGCATCAGGCCTCTAGTATATATATAAAAGGCTAAGCAACCAGCTGACCAGCCAACTGGCCAACCAGCAGGTAGCTATGATGAGCACTTACCACCAGGGGGCAGACGCTCTTGGAGCCAAGAGACAGCAACTTTGCAGAGTGCCCTCTTGCACTCTGGGACCCCTCGGGGGATGTCGGACTGCCAGTTTCAGCCAGATCCCCACAGGCCAGGCTGAGGGACCCCACCTGCCAAAGGGACCCCCTCACTCTGCAGATGCAGTTTGAGCCCCGACACGCCACCCCATGTGCGGCTGGCCAGGGAGGGACCATAGGAAATTGGCTCCAGGGCATATCCAGCGCATCTCACCCAGTCCCTCCCCACTGGCCATCTTCTAATTAATTTCCTTTCAATGTGCACGAATCCATGCACTGGGCCTCTAGTAGATTAATAATTTTACTCTTAATGCTGAGATTAGAAAATATGTATATATTTTTAAAGTGAGCTCTTTGGGCCCAGCTGACATGGCTCAGTGGTTGAGCATCGAATTATGAACCAGGAGGTCATGGTTTGATTCCCGGTCAGGGCACATGCTCAGGTTGCGAGCTCGATCTCCAGTGTGTGGATGTGCAGGAGGCAGCCGGTCAGTGATTCTCTCTCATCGTTGATGATTCTACCTCTCTCTCCCTCTCCCTTCCTCTCTGAAATCAGTAAAATAATTAATTAATTAAAATGAAAGTGAGCTCTTTAGGTGCACCCAATCCAATTTTTCCTCCAGCCAGAGGGCGGAGTACCTGCTAACTTAAATAGCTAAGACAAGCTCAGGAGCATAGTCCCCGGTGAAATGCTGTGCAAATCTCCACGTGGCTACAGATGCAGCTGCAGTCCCCCACTTTTTTGCAGGCCCAGGATTTGTTCAATTTCCTGTCAGTTTTGAAAATGGTTTACACACCAGACAGTTTCCTTATGTAACTTCTCACAAAGCACGAAGAAGTCTGCTCACTGGCTGTGCACGAGGAGATAAAGTTATATAACGCATAATTCTGTGGTTTTCAGCGACGCAAGTATATTATTTCTCCCTGACGAAGAAGAGGCCTTTGCCCCTGTCATAGTCTGTCGCTTTCTTTTTAATATGACTTGACAGCTTGAATTCAGAAGGAAGCTTCCCAATTTGAAGAAGGGGCTGGAACTCCAGTGTCTGTGCTAACAGCCCCCTTGCTGCTCTAATGAGGATTCCCTTACTCCATTTCTATTTCTCGGGAGAGGACAGGGTTCTTTTTAATTGGGGCTATTAGAAGCTCTCTGCACAATGACACCCTCCGCTACATAAAGGCTCCAGCAAGAGCCAGGCCCACTCTGCAATTACTTCTTGCAGTTCTGAGAAATAATGGTATCTTGTCTCATTTAAAAATAAATCTGAGACGTATTCCTGATTGCTTTTTCTCCTCTGCCTACCCACATGAATTTCTTCTTGCCAACTGAGCAAACTTGCCGTTATTTAAGGAGGTGGTTTTGATTGTGACTGTCCCCTGATAATAAGACATATTAAACTAGATATCATGTGCCCATGGTTCCTTTCTTCCAGATACAAGGCTAATTTAAACGAGCTCAGATCTCGTGATCTTGAGTTAATATTGAAAGGGGGAAGTTTTGGAATTTGCTGAGCAGTGTTCTGTTTGCACGTCACAGAGCTCACCTGAAATTACCCGCATTTCCAATGTTCGGAGTTTCTCAGAATCACTTCTTAAGAGAACAGATGAAGGTTTGTATTTATGACCTATTCCAAGAAAAGAAATGAAATATTTAGATGGTAACCAGGCACATTCTTAAAATATATTCCCCATGTTGAGTCCAAGGATTACCAAGGAAATGGGCCATTCACAACAGGGCCTGGAATGGCAAGACATAAAGAGCTTTTCCTTAAGTTGTTTTTCATGAACAAATACAAGTTCTTTCTAAAACCAGTGGCTTCTCTACTGCCATAAATGCCATATGCCATCTTCCTAATGAAAAGCCCAGCTCTTGTGTACAGAATGTTTTCTTATTTATGTTATTATATATACATAGATATCATGTACAGAATATTTTATTATTTGATGTTTAATATCCTAAATGATGTGACTTTTTATTACTGTATATGCTTGGATTTATAAAGCAAGACTTTGAAAGCTATTAAGCCTGTCATGTGGCTCAATGTTCATAAGAACTCAATGTCAATCCCCACTATTTGTCTCTTTCTAGACCCATTTTCTTTCTGGTTTCTATCTCTCTTTCTTAGTATGTTACTATATGGAAAAAATAGGTTTAAAAAACTCAAAACTAAGCACTATTTGCAATAATATACATTTATTTAAAATAACATAATTTCAAAACTAGAAAGACCCTGAGTCTTAATGCTGACATTTTATTAGTTGTATAACTCTGGACAGAATACTTAACCTCCCTGAAGCTCAGGGTTGTTGTTGTTGTTTTAATAAAAATAATAGCACATACCCTGTTTTCATGCTTTGAGAACCTATTGAAAATCTTGTGAAAATGCTATTCTACAAATATACAATATTATGATCATTAACCAATGCATTAGGGGGGGTATTATATATAAGGTAATGACAA